AAAATGTATTTCATTATTTCAAATTTTGACGTTTCTTAAACCTTGATCATAATAAAAGTAATAAAAAGAATTTAAAACCAAATCATCAAATCATCCAAGCATCAGCATCCAAATCTTTCAACCATCATTCTTGACATGATACAACTTACAAACAGGCTCCAAATCCCTACGTAAGTCTTAGATTCAATAAAGTAAGTAAAACTTTCGTTCCGAGATTACGTTTCAACTTTAACAAGCTATATTACACTAACAATTGTAGGAGAGCAGATTAACTATAAGCCGTTCTGACACTTTATTTAATGAAAAATGTAAATTGGATCATAATATATTATTATATTTTGTGTTTTCATGTATTTTGAAAACTTCACTGTATAACCATGATGTAAATTATGTATATTTTATGTATATTTATGTTTTTGAGGCCCACATGGAAGATTGGGAAACCAAATGTGTAGCCTCTTGGTCTTTTGAGCAGAGTAATTGCCTAAACCTGATCGAACAAATGATCCAGATTGTTTTTTACGTGTTCCGAAAGCCACAAAGTTCAGCGCTCTAATTTTTCCTTCTTTATTGTGCCAAAAATGTTCCTAAAAGATTCAATAGCCATTTAAAAAAAAAATAATAAGTATATAAATAGCTAATACCCATCTAGGAAAATAGAACCTCTTCAAAAGAAGACATTACGGTAATGAATTTGAGTAGAAATAAACATTTACGTGTACGAAAATTTCATCAATGCATTTTTTCCCCAATATTAACGCTAGAGTCTGTAATTGGCTGAAGATTATACACACCTATGATACTAATCAACTACTATGTTCTCATAAATTCTACCAATACAAATACTGTAATCTAGCTGAATCACAGTTTGAGAGCTGTAATAATGGCAACAGCAATGGTTTTATTTTAGAGCAAATATATCCTGACTAATATACTGTGTTACATATAAATTATACAAATTAATACATTGCTTTCATATTATCTCCCCTTAAAGATCCTGTATGTTGTAATTGAGGTTACGTAAACCAGACTTAAATGAAATTATATAAATGTATATAATAATGCTTATAAAACAATTTTCAAACATCGAAGAATATGTAAAATATGTACTGCAAATATTTGTGCACATTATATGTAAACATTAAAATATATGCATTTATATCTTATTGAAAAATTTGACATAGTCTTTATAGAATATAAATTTTTTATTTACCTCCCTTTATTTACATGAAATGTTAAATTCGATAATATCTTTATAAATTAAATGCTTTTTGGAACTTACAAAATTGACAAATCTTAATTTCAGCATCATATCTATATATAAACCATAAAAAAATTGTGTTACAGGATCTTTAACTGAATCCCTGAAACTGCATTGCAAAGCTTTTCAATTTTGGGTAATGTTTCACAATTTGAATAATAATTATTCTGGAAAAACGAAGTGAGGAAATGATTTGAAATTATGCACACATTAGTTATTGGTGTAGACCTACATCAAATGGAACATTAATCTCGAAAAATTATTTCCAGTCCAATCAAGTCAGATAACCTCAGTGGAGTTGACCTTTAACAATAATAAATTTCGTCAAGCATGTTTTTATATTATGTAACACTAAGATACAGTGTCTTAAGTAAGCACTATAATTAATTTGTGCGTCTTACTTTTACAATAGTTACTGCCATTATTATACTATCAACCGCAATCTGCACTTATAAAGCAACACTCAGAAAAAAATATATATATATACATAATCATGGTATAAAGAAACTTTGGCCTGTATAAATTCCGAGAATAAAGAACAAATATCATAACGTAGACCACAAAGACATATAAATCAAATTACAAACAATTTATACTGAAAAAGCTTCCAGTTTTCTGGGATGAAAAAAAATGGTTTTGTGATTTATACGAACCCAGAGTTCTTCGTCTCTCCGCAAATAAAGCCAATGCTCTACCATTGCACGTAAAGAATATGGATTTCATACTGTGTCTTAGCTTCCTTTTGCTTCAATATGGCCAACTGTAATTGATTTTTGCCTATTTTATAACTAAACTATCTCATATACAAAACAATGACCATGAATCTGAACAAAAAGATGCTACATTTTATGTCTTTGAAAAACAACAAAAACATTTTGCAGAGGAAAACAAAAAACTTACTCTTGCAACATTTTAGAATTATGCATAAATAACTGACTCACAATCAATAAATTTTTATAGTTTTTAGATTGACAAGTTACCTTTTTTCAATATACAATGTATTACTAAGCAAAAGACTGCATTATAAAGTCAAAACTTTAAGAGCTTTACCAACAATTAGTTATGATAACTCAGTTTTAAACCGATGTTCAGAGCATGTTATCACAATAAATTACATGTACTATTCTTTCATAAGCTTTGACATGTTTTAGAACAAAACACATCTATCACTGCATTTGTAGAAACCATGTCAAATTGTGCCGAAAGCTTTATGCCTGAGTTTTGTTTGAATTCTTTACCTCATTACTGCATTGCACCACATATCTGCTTATAGTGCCAATTATTGTATCTTAAGACTTAAATATCATACTAAAATTAATGCTTATACTACCAGCGTTATTTTAGCAAAAAACTTAACAATTTCATTTTTTATAAACAGATTTGTTGCAATTTGCGGAAAAATAAATTTACTTATCATATACTCTAAAATAAAGAGATTAACGTTAATATATAAGTTTTGGCATGAACCTTATCCCTAAAAAATAGAATCTTCAAGTTTTGCCTCCACAAAACTCCTCATCCGCTATCCAACCACACTTCCACCTGCCTACCTGCTCGTAAGTCCCGCCCCCTTTCCCTCCAGATTTTTCTCAGTAATGCAGTATTCTAATACTTATATAAACTAGAATTGATCTGACACCACAAAAACTTTTCCTGCATAGAAATAAAAAAGATTTTACGTCTGAAACTATATGAGGAATTGTCCCCTTAGGACCAATAAATATTGTCTCTATTTTTTAAGACAAACCAAGATCTGGAACAATAATCTCCACTGTAAACCACAGGTCTTTATTTGAATTTGATGTTTTATTACCAAACTTTTTCAATAAAGAAATATTCTAAGTTTTAATTTCAAAATTAACTTAAGGACCTGCAGTGATGGAAAAATTACACAAAATTTTAAGTTTTCATGATTTACCTTGATGTGCAAAGAGCCAATTATTATGCTTATATATAATTTAGCACACCCTCCTTACATACACATCCTGCCAAATATTTAAAGGGACATTATGCCAACAAACCAATAGTTTACTTCTTTATAAAGTGCAAACATGAATTTTAAAATATTTAGATAATAGTCTTAGAGAACGTTAGATGCTTGTTACCCAAGGAAAGTAGCGATCAATGTAAAATAAATTGTCAATAAAGTAGAAAAATGTTAACAAATAAGTATTTTGACTTCTACACAAAATACCCATTCACTGTAACCATACTATTGCCAAAAAGTAGCAGATAAAAAAAAAGAGGGCTCACGAAATTGGCCATTATTTAGTAACTTTTTGGATACTTTAAATGACACCAAAATTTAAAAGCTTTTGAGAAATAAAAATAAAACAATAAAACAATTTTTTAGGCATAATGGGCCTTTAAGAAACTCTTCTCTTGACTAATGAATGATAAGTAACTTCTGATGAATATTTAAATGTCCAACTCAAATCTTTGGTTCAAATATTTAAATGTCCAACTCTAAGCTAAAATTGGTTCAATCTAATTTCATAATAATCTAATTACATTTTCTCTTCCACAAGCAATCACTATTTTTTCCCACAATCATAGTAATAATATATTTTGCTACACTCGCTGGTGTGTCTCATAGAATGGCTACCTCACTGCCATGAAAACTGAGCTTAGATTCTCTATGAATATCAAATACATATACTGTCTGAAAATAACATATTTTCACAATGTTGAGAGTTATTGCATTTTTATTCCTTTGCCTGCAAAGCCAGCAAAAGGCGTAAGTCTAGTATTAAGATGCTAATGTTAATTCATTGTTACAGAAATTGGATATAAATCATCACTTCTCAACCCCCCAAAGAGGAGATTTCTTCCTCTACATCACATCTTGAATCTGTAACAAGAATGCATTAAGATTTTCTATAAGATTATAGTATATTAATTTATCCAGCTCAATATGCATATTGAAATGTTAAAGCACATTCTGGGAAATCATATATTTTGAAAGGCATGTCTTTTCATAATGCATGTCTTTTCATAATAAAATTTTCAATTTCCAAATTATAAATGATAAATATTCAAAACATTCTATTTACCCACCTATAAGTCAGACCATTTATAAGTCAGGGTATCTCTTTATAGAGCTATAAGTCAGGGTATCTCTTTATAGAGCTATAAGTCAGGTATAATCTCTTTATAGAGTTATAAGTCAGGGTATCTCTTTATAGAGCTATAAGTCAGGGTATCTCTTTATAGAGCTATAAGTCGGGGTATCTTTTTATAGAGCTATAAGTCAGGGTATCTCTTTATAGAGCTATAAGTCAAGGTATCTTTTTATAGAGCTATAAGTCAGGGTATCTCTTTATCGAGCTATAAGTCAGGGTATCTCTTTATAGAGCTATAAGTCAGGGTATCTCTTTATAGAGCTATAAGTCGGGGTATCTCTTTATAGAGCTATAAGTCAGGGTATCTCTTTATAGAGCTATAAGTCAAGGTATCTTTTTATAGAGCTATAGGTCAGTGTATTTCTTTATAGAGCTATAAGTTGGGGAATCTCTTTATAGAGCTATAAGTCAAGGTATCTTTTTATAGAGCTATAGGTCAGTGTATTTCTTTATAGAGCTATAAGTTGGGGAATCTCTTTATAGAGCTGTAAGTCGGATAATCTAATATAGAGCTATAAGTTGGGGTATCTCTTTATACAGCTATAAGTCAGGACATCTCATATAGAGCTATAAGTCAGGGTATCTCTTAATAAAGCTAATGCTCATTTCTTTTTCAGCTTGCCTTTGGTCTAGCAATGATTCTCCCTCTCCAGAAGAATGTACAGTTTGGTCTCCTGTGTGTGGCATGTGTACCCGGGGGAGGTTTAGGTCATGTTGCAGTCATCATCAGTAAAGCTGATCTACCTCTCAGTTTAACCATGAACCTCATCAGTACAGTTACTATGCTAGGTAAGATCCACCTCTTAAATAAGTATAAGTCCTGCCTCTCAAATTTGCCTTGTAAACAGCTAGGTAAGTTCTGCTTCTCAAATTACCATTCAAACAATGCAAGTTCTGCCTCTCAAATTACCTTTCAAACAATGCAAGACAAGTTCTGCCTCTCAATTTACCTTTCAAACAATGCTAAATTATGAAGTTCTTCCTTTCAAATTATTTTTCAAACAATGCTTCAGGTAAGTAGCCAGGTCAGTTCTGCCCCTCAAATATCAAAGCTCAGTATTAAAATTTAGTTCTCTTAAAATCAAGTCTGGTATAGTAAACTTCTTACAATGCTATCAAAATCTAACATTTAAATTTTTAATGTTTGGTAATTTAAGTTCTATTATACCTTCTTGAACAAGGATTGGAAAGTTCTACCCTTCAATTTTTAAATATGAAAAATATAATTCATAAATTTGTTACAGCAGTGTATATATATTGTAAATAATACAAATATGATAATTATCTAATGAATTTCAATATTACAAAATGTGCTAATTTGCTGTACTATAACAAGTTGCATATATGCTATATTGCATAAATACATGCTATATTATTCACTCTAATTGTTTACAAATATGATGATTGTCCGATGAAATTCAATATTACAAATGTGCTGTACTATAACGTTACATATATGCTATATTATTCTCTCTAATTGACTTTCAATTACAGACAACTTGAGATATGTGATCTATCCATGTAATTGTACAGTTCTTCTCGAGGAGAGAACACGTCTCTACGGAGACACATTACAATACAAGTCACTGTACAGTTCCCTGGAGTAAGATCTAAATCACAGAATGTCTCTGCCTTTAGGAATGAATCAATACCAACAAAAAAGTGGTTTCTCAGTGCTGCTTGCGATGGTACAAAAAAAAAAAAAAAAGGAAACCAAAAAAAAAAAAAAAGATGTCTTGTCTTGTGTATATTTTTTGTCTTGCAAGGCTACAGAATTAGAATAAATGAATCGCGCCATGACAAAACCAACATAGTGCATTTGCGACCAGCATCCTCACAGTCTGATCAGGATCCATGCTGTTCGTCTACAAAAGTAGAGAAACTGATAGCGAACAGCATGGATCCTGATCAGACTGCGCAGATGCGCAGGCTGGTCTGGATCCATGCTGGTCGCAAATGCACTGTGTTGGTTTTGTCATGGCTCAAATAGAACTAACCTTGCTTTTTTGGGGGGGAGAAAGTGTCATGATTTGTTCAGGCATAGAGAAAGTACTGAAAATTCATTCTCATCTGTTAATTATCAAATGTGCAGTCATTGTGGGAGGAAATATTAACAGAATCTCTTCATTTAAAATTATCAATATCCCTTTTTTTCTTACATTATAAATGAGAAGTAACAAATTCAAACTTTACCACAACTTTGAGGAAATAACTTTAAAGTTGCAACTTTTACAACTTAAAAGTTGCAACTCTCATGTAAGAAACTACAAATTAATCATATTTTATTATTCGTTTCAGGAACGGCGCCATTATGGATATTTGTTCTTGGTCAGTACTTCCAGCAGACGGAGGGCTCGAAAATCATTCCGATATACAATTTTGAAATATGGCTGGCATCCACCTTCTTCTCTTACACTGCTGGACTAGTTATAAACCGGTTCAAACCGAATGTAGCGGAAGGATTACTCAACTGGTTTATAAAACCATTTTTGCTACTAGCTACAATTTTATACATCACCGTGGGTGTCTATATAAATATGTATGTTTTTGAAAAAGTTGACAAAATGACAGTTTTAGCAGCTATGCTACTGCCATTGTGCGGGGTGTTAGTTGGTACAGTTCTTTCCATAATTTTTAGACAAAAATCAAACTTCTGCAAGACAATTGCGTTGGAAACATCTAGCCTAAACTGTTTAATAGTTTTGGCAGCGTTACGATTTTCGCTCAATCAACCCGATGCTGATTTAGCTTCGGTCATTCCGATTTGGGTAATGTTTACAATTCCAGCTTTATATGTGATTCTAGCAATACTAGGGAAATTCAAAGGAAAAATTGACATGTACTTGGAGAGTCGTAAAAAGAATCAAACGCGACATTACAGCATCGCCTCTGGTATAGTTAATCAAGCCAATATGGCTGCACTATCGGCGCCCCTTTTTGTGACTGAAACAATCACCGACGATGACCAGCAATCGGGCATCAGTGAAAAAGTAACAGTTTTGTAGCATAGACTGTAGACTTCAGGTTATTTATATAGAATTGGAATGAATGCAATGTACGTTAGTGTTTACGAGAAGATTTGTGCGGGCTGACGTACAAGCCAAACTTTGAGGAACGAATAAACAAACAACACCGAAACATGAGCAGCTATCAATGTTTATAAAACCACCCTAACTGCTGATACATGCATTTTTAGAATGAATGGATAATATAGGAGCTTTAACTGAACAGTCAGGTCTCACACATGACAGTAAAATTTCATTACCATACCAATTTTTAGCATATTGCTAGTGTATTTTCATTACAATCAACAATACATACATTTTTTACACTCTTTTAAGAATTCCTCAAATTTTCAAAAATAAACTGAAATACTAGTCATGTACCTTTCAGGATGCGGGATTTAAACTTAACAAGGAGTATAGGAATAAGGAGTTCATGGGTCAGTGATTAAACCTTACCACACTACATTAATTAAATGGACTTGTCCATCTTTCATTCTTGATAAAACCATTCATCATTTTTAGGGAAAATTTCAAATAAGTACTGACTGAATAGCCAACAATGGCGACCACGATCAGACAGCTTGGATAAGCTAGCTGATTTTGGCCTGCTCTGGATGCATTCAGCAGGCTAAGACTTCAATTGGAACGGTCTGGTAGTGGAAGATTTTTAGTAAATTGGAAGAATTTAAGGACATTATAATAATTAATACCGTATAAGTGGTTTTTTCTGCGGTGACTTTATTTCTGCGTTTTCTGCGGTCAGTTTCAGCACCGCAGAAATAAAAACCGCAGAATATTTCTCCACGTTTTGTTTTTTAACGATATTTGTCCTACATTATGACCTGTTTCTTCTAAAGTAATAACGACTAACGGATTATAACGGTTAGCGGGTTATCAAGTTATATAATATTGCTTTCGGCTAAGTATGTAATATGTGCTTGTAAGGATGTACTTGTCGTTAATTATGCCAATTTATGAACAAAGAAATTTAATCATCATAGGGTTTGCCTGTACGCTGAAAGGTTTGTTTACCACTAAATCATTAAAACCATTTAAACCCTTATACTGCTAAATAATCGTCGTATACATTATTGGTTGTCTGATTTACGATAAACTTCTATCAATTTTATTAAATTAAAGATACTACCGGGCTATATTTTTCACACGTCATTTCACGCTGATCAAAAGATGCATACTGTCTATTTTTGCACATTATATTTGTTTGCAAGCAAACAATATAATTGTTCGCAATTACTATGTAGTTTTGCGGTGACGACGGTAAACAAAATTTTAATGCTAATGTGTACATGCAAATAAAATAGGTAAAGTAATGTGACTTAGACTTTGATAAGACGAGCCGCAGAATTTAAATCACGTTTTGTCCAAAGAATGTGCCGCAGAAATAAAGTCCGCAGAAATAAAAACATGCCAAAATTTGGAAAAACCGCAGAATTTGGAGCCCGCAGAAAAAACCACTTATACGGTACATATGAAGTGAATTTAGGGTGTTTGCAAACCATGGAGGTTTGTTGTTGAAAGTTCAAAGACAATAAATAATATTAATTTAGGATAAAATCAATATATCACACAGCTTTAAATCAGTGATTTTCTTACTTTACTTGGTCGAGATCTTAGCCTCTAGATTTTGGAAAAAAATTATCACTAAAATTGCTAAAATGAAAAGTTAAGTTCAGATTTTAGGGAAAACTTCACAAATTCAAAGAAAATTTAGGTTGAGAAGGGGCTTAAAATTTAAAGGCATCTGTTAATTATAAGGTGTAAACTAAAGGCATCTGTAATATAACATGAAAACTCACGGTCAACATATGACATTCTGCTTATTCTTCATCGGAAATAATCATTTTAATCACACAAAATCTACAATCATGTTGTTTATTTGTTAAGGTTTTAAACGGCACCTCAACACATTATTTGTCATATCCTGCTTAGGATCAAACAGATAACTCTGAAAACAGATGTGCATACACTTGAAAACATTACAATTGTGTCACTTATAATTGAGCCGCGTCACGACAAAACCAACATAATGGGTTTGCGACCAGCATGGATCCAGACCAGTCTGTGCATCTGCTCAGTCTGATCAGGATCCATGCTGTTCGCTTACAAACCCTATAACAAGTAATGAAACTGATAGCGAACAGCATGGATCCTGATCAGACTGCGCGGATGCGCAGGCTGGTCTGGATCCATGTTTGTCGCAAACCCACTATGTTGGTTTTGTCATGACGCGGCTCATATATCTTAACATTCCATTACATTGCATTCTAGTACTGTCTACCTGTGTTTTCAGAAATGATTAAGCAAAAAAAACATAATTCAGGTACAGGAGTACCCAGGATTCTTGCACCATATATTAAATGATTATCATACTGTATTAGATAATTATCATACTGTATTAGATAATTATCATACTCTATTAGATAATTATCATACTGTTTTAAATAATTATCAGACTGTATTAAATAATTATTAGATTATTTTCATAATGTATTAAATAATTATCATACTGTATTAAATAATTATTAAATAATTATCATACTGTATCAAATAATTATCAAAATAATTATCATACTGTATCAAATATTTATTAAATAATTATCATACTGTATTAAATAATTATTGAATAATTGCCATACTGTATTAAATAATTATTGTACTGTATTAAATAATTATCATTCTGTATTGAATAATTATCATACTAATCACCCTGAAACTTGCCTGACTGTTCAGTTTGTGAACTGTTTTGTGAATTGTTACTGTATTGAATGAGTGCGTTTTTTCTATATACATGTATTCCGGTCTGCGTTTAAATACGAGAATACAAAAATGATCCATAATGTGTAGTCATCCTGATAACACGATTATATGTAGAAATATTATATATATATGTTATAATGTGTAAATGCACATATTGTGTATGAGTATTAAACATTAGACAACATGTAATAATAATGTGATATGATATATTGTAAATTGCATGTTACATTTTTTTATGAGTTTTAGTAATTTATTTTTTGCCTACTTTGAAATTATCCGTGCTATTCCATTTGAATGTATATATGAATTATACAAATTCTTTCCATTTCAACTTTTTATTTCAACAATTCAACCTTCATAAAACATTTTGTTAAATAACACAAAAACAGTTTAATGCAATTATTTATACTTTTATAGATACTGCTCTACATTTACAATAAGACCATTATATTATTAATGACCAGGAATTCATAAATTTCCAACAATCATTTTCATGATTATCATGGTAAAATAAAATGCAAAAGAAAAAATACAGATATTTTGAGAAAGGTCTTTTGGAATATAACAAACATGATATACATGAACTATTTCTGGCATTAATGAACATGACCTGTTTCTTTACAACATTAACTATATCTGGCAATATCATAAACATGACCTGTTTCATTACGACCATTACATTTTTCTTGGCATTCATAAACATGACCTGTTTCTTTACGACCATTACCTATTTCTTGGCATTCATAAACATGACCTAGCTGTTTCTTTATGACCATTAACTATTTCTTGGCATTCATGAACATGACCTGCTTCTTTACGACCATTAACTATTTCTTGGCATTCATAAACATGACCTGTTTCTTTATGACCATTAACTATTTCTTGGCATTTATGAACATGACATGCTTCTTTATGACCATTAACTATTTCTTGGCATTCATGAACATCACCTGTTTCTTTACGACCATTAACTATTTCTTGGCATTCATGAACATCACCTGTTTCTTTACGACCATTAACTATTTCTTGGCATTCATAAACATGACCTGTTTCTTTACGACCATTAACTATTTCTTGGCAATATCATAAACATGACCTGTTTCCTTACGACCATTAACTATTTCTGGCATTCATGAACATGACCTAGCTGTTTCTTTACGACCATTAACTATTTCTTGGCATTCATAAACATGACCTGTTTCTTTACGACCATAAACTATTTCTTGGCATTCATGAACATGACATGTTTCTTTACGACCATTAACTATTTCTTGGCAATATCATAAACATGACCTGTTTCTTTACGACCATTAACTATTTCTTGGCAATATCATAAACATGACCTGTTTCTTTACGACCATTACCTATTTCTTGGCATTCATGAACATGACCTGTTTCTTTACGACCATTAACTATTTCTTGGCATTTATGAACATGACCTAGCTGTTTCTTTATGACCATTAACTATTTTCTTGGCAATATCATAAACATGACCTGTTTCTTTACGACCATTAACTATTTCTTGGCATTCATGAACATGACCTGTTTCTTTACGACCATTTAACTATTTCTTGGCATTCATGAACATGACCTAGCTGTTTCTTTATGACCATAAACTATTTCTTGGCAATATCATAAACATGACCTGTTTCGTTACGACCATTAACTATTTCTTGGCATTCATGAACATGACCTGTTTCTTTACGACCATTTAACTATTTCTTGGCATTCATGAACATGACCTAGCTGTTTCTTTATGACCATAAACTATTTCTTGGCAATATCATAAACATGACCTGTTTCTTTATGACCATTAACTATTTCTTGGCATTCATGAACATGACCTGTTTCTTTACGACCATTTAACTATTTCTTGGCATTCATGAACATGACCTGTTTCTTTATGACCATAAACTATTTCTTGGCAATATCATAAACATGACCTGCTTCTTTACGACCATTAACTATTTCTTGGCATTCATGAACATGACCTGTTTCTTTATGGCCATTAACTATTTCTTGGCATTCATGAACATGACCTGCTTCTTTACGACCATTAACTATTTCTTGGTATTCATGAACATGACCTTTTTCTTTACGACCATTAACTATTTCTGGCATTAATGAACATGACCTCTTTCTTTATGACCATTAACTATTTCTGGCATTCATGAACATGACCTGTTTCTTTACGACCATTAACTATTTCTTGGCATTCAATACATGACCTGTTTCTTTACGACCATAAACTATTTCTTGGCATTCATGAACATGACCTGTTTCTTAACGACCATTAACTATTTCTGGCATTCATGAACATGACCTCTTTCTTTACGACCATTTACTATTTCTTGGCATTCATGAACATCACCTGTTTCTTTACGACCATTAACTATTTCTTGGCATTCATGAACATGACCTGTTTCTTTACGACCATTAACTATTTCTTGGCATTCATGAACATGACCTGTTTCTTTACGACCATTAACGTATTTCTTGGCATTCATGAACATCACCTGTTTCTTTACAACCATAAACTATTTCTTGGCATTCATGAACATGACCTCTTTCTTTACGACCATTAACTATTTCTGGCATTCATGAACATGACCTGTTTCTTTACGACCATTAACTATTTCTTGGCATTAATGAACATGACCTGTTTCTTTATGACCATTAACTATTTCTTGGCATTAATAAACATGACCTGTTTTTTTACGACCATTAACTATTTCTTGGCATTATTGAACATTACCTGTTTCTTTATGACCATTAACTATTTCTTGGCATACATGAACATGACCTGTTTCTTTACGGCCATTAACTATTTCTTGGCATTCAATACATGACCTGTTTCTTTACGACCATTAACTATTTCTTGGCATTCATGAACATGACCTGTTTCTTTTACGGCCATTAACTATTT